GTCGAAGACCTCCTCGTCGAGCACGAAGTCCGGGTTGCTGTAGGGCCAGGTCCGCCGGTAGGCCGACACGTTGGGGTCGAGGAAGCGCTCGAAGTACGCGACCTCGTCCGGGTCCTCCGTGCCGGACACGAAGCTGGCCTGGTCCTCGACGTAGTAGCCCTGGTCGCAGATCGGCGTGCGGCAGTCGAAGCCGCTCCAGCCCTCGGCGCAGCGGCAGACGTCGGGCGCCGTGCAGTTGCCGCCGTTGGCGCAGGCGTAGACGCCCTGGGTCACGTTGTGGTACTCGAAGAACGCGACCTGGCGGTCGCTCCGCCGGTTCCAGGGCCGCGACCGGCCCGCGCCGCCGTCCGCGGCGCCCGCGTAGGCGCGCCAGGGCCAGCCCGTCGCGTTCCAGCCGTAGGGCGTGAGCGGCGTGTAGCGGTGGTAGGCCGTCGTCGAGTTGTCCTCGCGCGTGTACCTGTGTGCAAATCAACCAGTGAGCTGGGACGTCGGGGCCAAACTTCAGAATTCTCTCGCTCGGTCAAATCGAAGTCGATTCGGCTGATTTTTGGACGAATCGATTGCTCTCAGCGAGTTCTCGAAGCACGGCGGAAGTGCTCGTGACAAAACATTCGCATACGCGCACATTGAAGTCGGGTTGAAGATTTGATTTGCACACAGGCGTGTACTGGAAGCGCGTGTACGCGTCGTCGCGGACCTCGAAGATGTCGCAGCGGTCGGGCCGGTCGCGCCAGCCCGTGGCCGCGCGGAACGCGCCGCCGCTGGGCACCTCGAGGGGCGGCGCGGGGCGCCGGAGCTGCGCGCAGTCGAAGCCGCGCGTCGCGTTGCACCAGCGGCCGTAGAAGCAGGGCCGGTAGCTCGGCCAGTGCAGGGGCCGGTCCGGCGGCGGCCGCCGCGGCGCCTCGGCGTCGAGGAACGGCGCGAAGAAGCCCTGGTGGCACACGGGCAGCGAGCAGTCGTGGCCGTGCCAGTGGGGGCCGCACTGGCACGTGTCCGGCGCGACGCACC